CCTAATTATCTCTGGTCTCATCCACCTGTGGGTTCTGCTTTATATTCGGTCCAGCCCAGCTATCGAGGCCAGATCATTGTTTGCTGTTTGTTTGTTCTCTGTTAGATGTCTTTAGGTTCTGTTTTCATAAGTTTTAGTTAGTCCAAGGTTCATGTCCCCGTTCCAGTGAGGAGATTATTCTGGAGCCAGTGTCTACAGGCAAGTTTATTCCCTAACCAGTGGTGAGAGCGTTTCAGCGTTTCCCTAGTGATTCTGATCTCCCGATTCCATTCCCTCTCACACACTGGCCCTGTCTGTACCCATCTGATCTGTTTGCCTGAACCACGGTTGGACCTCTGTTGGATTCTGCCTGTCTGTATGTATTTGTCTAAGCTGGTTGCTCGATGCACGGGTCTCTGAACCTGCCTTTACGCTGTATTGGATTCCTGGAACCGCATCTGTTTGTTCCTGTGTGGATTGGAACCCCTGACGGGACTGCAGACTCCTGGATTCCAGAACTACTCCAGTCTGATCTGAATCCCTGTCCTGGATCGGAGTCCTGCCTGCTAAATCAGGTTACTGCATCAGAGCCTCATCTCGTTGGCCGTGCATCGGCTGATCCTGCCTATTATTGAGAGGATGGACAGAACTGTTAAACCAGAGTGTCATTGATTGGGCGGTGCCCCGTCCTCCCTCCTGCAGTCACTGCAGGTCCGCAGATCCATATCAGCTCAGCGCTTCTGTTCTGTCTGTTTCTGTTTTTATTTTAACAAACTTTTTGAACTTTTCTACTGGCTGTCTCACCTTAAATACTGGGTGCATCTGTCCCGTTCATGACACTTTGAACCAAAGCCTTTCTTGTAATGAAAACCTTTTTCTCTCATCTTAAATAATCTGTATTATTAAGGTTGTTCTGTTTACATGTATTGTTTTAATGTCCTTATTTTTATAGTTTTTTCCACTTAATTCATTTAATCCCAGGATAAAAATGATAAAGCAAAAACGTTTTATACATGTTTTCATCCATCGTTATTCTTTTAGGCTTCAGCTGCAGTTAGTAGGTTATTTGCCGTGTTCTCCCCCACAATGATAAACATTTCTGATCTTTCAGTATGAGGAAACCTAAGCTTAACATTTTTGCCTCTATTATCCCTGTGTAATGTAATCTTATTGACCTTGCTGTAATAAACTCCCGGACATCGCCCAAAGCAGAAAACTTTTGATGGACCATTTTTAGCTGATATTCCCTTGATGATTGAGATCTTAATTTCCACATGGATGCAGATTTTTTTCCCTCTCACATTCGTGCTTATCACTGCGGGCCTTGGATTCCGTCATTTTCTCTTTATTTTACATCAAATTAACCATGAAAGAGCAGCATGTCATAAAGCGGCAGCCTAAATGATACATTATCACTGCAAATGTCTGCAGACGAAGCACGTCTGTGCAGCCTTGACTTCAAGGTCACATAATTTCTGAAAGCACTCAAAGTCAATACAGTACCTAAGTCACAGTTATGATGAAAGCATGTCAAGAATAAAACAGAAATGTTCTTAAATAAATGTAAACATAAAAAGATGGATGCTTAAAGTTTAAACCAGGCAAAAAATTTCATTTCTAACCAAGTTGCTGCAGCTGAGCAAATCCTTCCGATCAGTGAACTGTCATATTCCTCATTCTTGCTTAACAAAAACTGTTAAACAGGGTTTCATCTATGTCTACTCTACATCATAGCACATAACTATCCCATCTGCAGTGAAGTCCAAAATATCTAAAAAAGATAAACCATTATGTTCTTACTTAACTTATAGAATAATTTAATTTTCACTATGTACCTGCTGGTAACGGGGCATAGACATGTTATACGTCTGTACAAAAAAAGGCCAAAAACCATATGATCATGATATTAACCAACTCTGTCCTGATAGTGTTTTGATCTCTATTTCCACCTAAATAGTATTCTTGCAGTGGGTGTGATGAGCATCTGCTCACAGTACTCAATTACTTAATAAAGCCTAGCAGTCCTGCAATGCTTTGTGGTGAAAAGGCAGCTCGGTGTGGAATGCAGCATCAAGGTGAGAAATGTTTTAATCACATAAAAAAAAAAAAAAAAAAACGTCTTAAGCTAGAAGCTTTTTATTGGAATGAGTGCAAATGGAACACATTAAAATGTGTTTTTAATGCTAAGTGCCTTGTTGATCAGCCCTGTATTCAATCAAATTTAAACAATTTAACTCTATCTATCTATCTATCTATCTATCTATCTATCTATCTATCTA